CAGCACTCCCAGCCTGGTCTCCAGTTCCAGGGGATCCAACGCCCTCTTCTAACCTTTGCAGGCATTGCACAACACCAGTGTACTTACATATATGCAGGCAATACAGTCATACACATAAAAAAATAATAATAAATAAAATATATTTTTTTAAATGTGAGCCACCATGCCCAGCTGGCTTCCCAAAGACCCAATACTCAGAGCAGGTTAGCCCACACCTATAATCCCAGCATTTGTCAGGTGGAGGGCAGGAGGAACAGAAATTCAAGGTCATCTACTGCAAATCAAATTTGAGGCCAGCCTGGGCTACATGATAATCTGTCTCAAAACAAACATTGGAGGAGAGCAAGGGGGCTCAGCGAGTAAGGGTGCTTCCTGCCAAGCCTTAGGACCTGAGTTCAATCCCGAGTACACACATGGTGGAAGGAGAGAACCAGTCCTTCAAGCTATCCTCTGATGTCTCCATGTGCAACCTAGCAACCATACACATACACACACACACACACACACACACACACACACACACACACACACGCACACGCACGCACGCGCTCACACACATACACGGGCATGCGCACACAAATAAATGAATAAAGTGTAATACAACAAGCAGACACAGTGTATTGAGCCTGTTACATAGTAGACCCTGTTCAAAGCACATCCTTGGATATTATTTATTAATTTTCCTTAAGAATCCCATGAAGAAAATGGTTATTTTCCAGATTGGACAAACTGAGGCAGGCTTTTTGAGACCTGTCCAGGGTCCTGATGCCAGAGGGTAGGAAGTCTCTCTCCTTCCTTTTTCCAGCCTCTGTTTCAGTTTCCAGAGCAACTGGACATAAAAGGGACTGTGGGTGACAGCAGGATGGGGGAGAAGCTGCCAGACAGGGAAAGGTTCAGGTCAGGGAGCAAGGGGAAGCCTGGGGTCGGTGCCAGCAGGGAACACAGCCCTCACAGTCTCTTCCCTCTCCTTTCCCATTGTCCACAGCCAGGATCTTTGGATCCGTCACTTCCTCTTTTCTGGGAAGATCTATGAGTTCAGGGCAGAGAATAGTCATGCACCAAGCCCCTGACCAGTTTCAGGGTCTATGGATCTCTCTCTCTCTCTCTCTCTCTCTCTCTCTCTCTCTCTCTCTGACTGTCATGTAGCCTAGGCTGTCCTGAAAATCAATATGTAACTGAGGATGAACTTGAACTCTTGATCTTTCTGCCTCTTCCTGAGTGTTGAAATGACAAGAGTATGCCACCCCCAAACCTCCTTCCCCATGCCCCAGTTTATGCCAAGCTGAGAATGGAGTTCAGGGACTCATGAATGCTAGGCAAGCACTCTACCCACTGAGCTACAGCTCCAACCCCTCTGTTTCTGACAGGATCTTTATTTATAGTCCAAGATGGCCTCAAACTCCAGAGCTTCCTGCCTCTGCCTCCTGAGTGCTGGGATTATAAGTATGTGTCACCAGGACCAACTTTAAATAATTTCCCTTTATCTTTGTACCTTTTTGTTTATGTTTATTTAATGTGTATGAGTGTTTTGCCTGCATTCAAATGCACTTGTATGTACAATGCCCACAGGGACCAGAAGAGGGCATCAGATCCCTGGAACTGAAGTTATGGATGGTTGTTAGTACCATATGTGTGCTGGGAACCAAACCCAGGTCCTCTGCAAGAGCAGCCAGTGCTCTTAACTTCTTGAGCCATCTCTCTGGCCCTCATTTTCCTTTAATCTCAGCATGCAGGAGGTGGAATCAAGTAGATCTCTGTGAGTTCCAGGCCAAATTGGGCTACATACTAAGTTCTAGGCCAGTCAGGGCTACATACTGAGTTCCAGGTCAGCCTGGGCTATATAGGAGAAACTGCCCAGTGTTCTGGATAGGATGATGTGAAGGCTGAGAAGACACCCCTGAAAAATTCCCAGGAAACACTTTGAGAACCACAGGTTGAATCTACTGGACAGAGGAGGAAATTGCCATGTGGAGAGGGAAAGGATGTGTACACATCACAGTGAGTCCATGAAGT